CCTGATACAAACAAGCGGAGGAAGTCTCACAGAAAACCTGGTGGACCCACCGCTGTCACCTATGTGCAGCTATAATACACAAAACCTCTTAGGTGGGCAGAGCATAAAAGATGGTGGTTGGAAGAATAAATAGTAACAGCTACGTGGTAGAGTTTAGGGGACATGTCACAAAAAACAAATAGGATGATATTGATGTGAATATTTTGGGGTGTTCTTGTTATTGGGTGTTTGGGGTTTTTTGTTTGTTTTTGTTTTATTTGTTTTTTTAGATAAGGTCTTGCTATGTAGTTCAGGCTGGCCTCAAACTCAGAATCCTCCTGCCTCAGCCTCTCTAGTGATGGGATTACTTTGTGAATTTTTAAAAAATAAAATTTAGCAAGAACTGTTCTATGTCACTTAATAGTACTTGGAAATCTGTTCAGCGGAGTCTATATTACATATTTGGAAGGTATAGCTATAACTGATACAAGTATGATATAGCTACTACAAACAGTTTTGTCATCAGATTTTTTTGGTATGGTAAACAGTTTTTTGGTAAGGCTCTAAGTTAAGCAAAAGAATCTTTTTTTAATTTGTGGCCAGTGGCTGTATCAGTCAGGGTTCTTCAAAGACAGAACCAACAGGCTGTGTCTATAGACATAATGAGTGGGATTTGCTACAGTTGGCGCACATGATTATGGAGGCTAAGAAGACTCATGACAGGTCTGGAGACCCAGGGATGCTGATAGTGTGAACCAGTCTTAAGTCTGAGAACCAAGGAAGCCAGAACCCTGCAGCTCCAGTCTAAGGACAAGGCCTGAGAATAGGGTGGGGAGGGGTTACAGGACATGGTTCAGATTCCATAGTCCAAGGCTGAAGAGCCTGGAGTTGTGGACCAGAGAGAGCAAGTCCTTTCCCCTTTCTCTTTTTATTTCATTCAGCCCCCTCGCTGATGCTCCCCCCACAGCCCCTCAGCAGTACTGGGCTCACATGTATGAGGAGGCCAAGTGCCTCAGCAATGTCTATCACAAAAAGATAACCCTCCTGGATACAGCCAAGTAGAATACTTTATTAGTTTTTTAGGTGTTCCTTAATATGGTCATTTAACACTTAAAATTAATACCATGGTGGGCCGGGGATTTAGCTCAGTGGTTTTGCCGCCTGCTGCGCAAGCACAAGGACCCAAGTTTGATCCCCGGTACCAAAAAAAAAAAAATTAACACCATGGTGGCATACCTGGAAAGTAAGTGTTTATCAACATTGTAAATAATGTTTTGTGTTGGTGTGGAAAATGGAATTAAATGTTATGCTTAGATAATTTTTAAAGTTTTGTTTTTTGGTTTTTTTGTTTCCTTCTTGCATGTCCAGTGGAAGACTTGGAAAAGTCTGTGGAATACGGAATAGTTCCGCTCCTACCCGTCTTTCTAGCTATACCAAGCTACATGCCCAGTCATTTATTTTTATTTTATTTAGAGACAGGGTCTTGCTGAATTGCCTAGGCTGGTCTTGAATTTGTGATCCTTCTGCCTCAGCCTCCCTAGTAGGTGGGATTACGAGCATGTGCCATGACAGTTCTTTATTGTACTCTTATGAATTACAAGATGCCTAGCATCTTTGGCCTTTTTCTCCAACAAATACTGGTAGCTCCCCACCCCCATCCCCAGTCACTGTGACTACCAAAAAATAGCAGCCAAAGAGTTCCACAGTGCCCCTTGGGAGTGATACCTTCCTTCTGAGCGCTACAATGGCTAATTTCACTGGGTCATGACCTGTAGTTTGAAAAAAATACTTATAGATGCCTCTGGGGTCCCCCAAACTAGTAGAATTCACTTCAGCTTTATTGCATGTACAAGATTATTCCTTTCCTAGTGTTGATAGATGTATTTCAGTTACCTTTGTTGTTTATTGTTTTCAGACTCTAAGATAAATATTAATGGCCCTAGTAAATTCATTTGGCCTCCAATTTAGATGATACCAGTGTCCTATGAAATATGCAGATGAAGTTCTTTCAAAAAGCATGTTTTAAGCCAAGTATGGTGGCACACTTTGGAGACTGAGGGAGGAGGATTATTGCAAGTTTGAGGCCAACCTGGGCTTCATATTGAGTTTAAAGCCAACCTGAACTGCATGATGAGACCTTGTCTCAAAAAAGAATTTTTTTTTCTAAATAATTTCTGATAGCCCATGCATTGACAGAGTGGTTCAATATAGAGACTCATCCTTTGAACCAAGTGCTGCTGTTTGCTTTTTTTTTGGAAACAGCATCTCACTGTGTAGTTCATGCTGACATTGGCCTCAAACTCACGGCAATCCTCCCTCTGCCTCCTGAGTACTGGAATCATAGCCATGGGCCACCATGCCCAGCTCTATTTGTTTATTTTCTTTTATAAATTTTCAATTTATAAAAAAGTTGTGATGATAATACTTTCTAGGTACAGTACTCCTCACTTGGTTTCCCTTAATTTGACATCTTACAGGACCTTGCACATTTGTCAAAACTAAGCACCATAACAAAGAAGCCAACATTGATAACATTATTACTAACTAAACTCTAGAGGGCTGGGGATTTAGCTCTGTGGTTTCACTGCCTGCTGCGCAAGCACAAGGACCCGAGTTCGATCTCCGATCACCGGTACCAAAAATAAATAAATAAATAAATAAACTCTGGGATCCAGTCACATCCATTTTCTCACTGATAACCCTTTTCTGTTGTAGGACCTAGGATACCATGTTGCATTTAGTCCCTCCTGGTTTTGAACTCAGTAGTTAGAGAAGGAAGGGCACAGTGTCTGTGGAATTGCTCTCTTGTGGACAGTATTGCCTCTCCCAGCTCTATTGCCCCCCCAGCTCTTGCTAAACCTCCCTTTTGATCTTTTGTAAATTCTTTAGATATAGTTTCTAGATACTTTGTTATTCAGCCAATATGTTGTACTTGTTTCCCATTGAAGACAAGATAGAACACAGTTCTTTGCATATGGTCTGGCAAGAGTAAAGTGTGGAAGAATGATAGTTGCTTATAAATGAAGCCTCAGCTTGGTTATTTGCTGGCCTTAGCACCTGCATCCTATCTGGGGCCAGTATTGAAGCAAAAGTTCTCCTTTAATTAACTTACGCAGAATTTATAAGAATTGCTGTTTGACCCAGAGGCTATATGAATCTCTTTTGAAGTTTTTTCTTGTTTTTGGCACACCCATTTGTTTCTTTTTGAATCTCTATTGTCCAGTATTTTAATTTTCTTTATTATTTTGTTTGATTCTGGGTGCTGGGGTTGAACCCAGGCCCTTGCATGTACTAGACACATGCATGTGTTCTACCACTGAGCTATGCCCTCCACCCTGACTGTATCTTTTATGTACAAGCTTACCCTAGGGGGCTGGGGATTTAGCTCAGTGGTTCCAGCGCCTGCCTCGCAAGCGCAGGGACCCGAGTTCAATCCCCGGTACCAAAAAAAAAAAAGAAGCTTACACCGTGGTTGGCCCTCAGTATTCCTGAGTTCAATCATCTGTGGGTTGAATTTTTTTAAGTATGTCTATACCAGACATGCACCGATTTTTAAAATTTATTTTTGCAGTGTTGGGGATCAAATGTAGGGCTTCACACATGCTCTGCCATTGAACTAACTATTCCCTCCGCCCCACAGACCAGTTTTTCTTGTCATCCCCTAAACAATGCAGCATAGTGGCTACTTATATAACATTGACACTGTAGGTAAGTATTCTAAGTACTCTCAAGAAGATTTAAAGATGCAGGAAAGTGTGCATAGATTATATGCAAATACTGTGCTGTTTTATGGAGGGAACTTAGACATCTGAGGATTGAAGATGGCAAGGGGTAGTCGTGGAACCAGCCTCACTCAGTCCTGATGGGTGACAGGAAATATATTTTCCATAACTTAAGTCACTAATGAAAACATAGTATAAAAAAGAGTCAAGTACAGAACCTTATGTTGGGAGATAACTTGGCAAAAGAAAGTATACAACTGTGAGGAAGCTAAAAAATGTTAGGGTGTGGCACTGAATCCTTTTGTATATACTGACAACTGTGAGTGGTGCCTAAGCTGCAACTCTTGGACAGTGAGAGAAACAACTTTTTGGACAGGGGCAGATAGCCAGGTCAGTGTTATCTCAAAAGGAAACCAGCTGTGCTTCATAGGATTCTTAGTTTACCTTTTTTCCTGCTCATACATGAACCTTCTTTGAGATTTTCATGAGCCTTGGTTGAATTGGGCCTTTTTATGGATGATGTTGAAAATTTTGGAAGGTAGTAGACATACTTCTTCTTTTATTACCAAGGAGGCTCTGGGCTCTGTGGGGTGTGTGTGTGTGAGAGAGAGAGAGACAGACAGACAGACAGAAGTGGAGATCAAACCTAGAGTCTTGCTCATGCTAGGTAAGTACTCCATCACTGAACTACACCCCCAGCCCCAAGGAGGTATTTGAATAAATAACATATTTGGGGGGTTTTTTTGTTTTTTGTTTTTTTGGTACCAGGGATGGAACTCAGGACCTTGCGCTGTTGAGGCGTGTGGTGGAACCACTGAGCTAAATCCCTGCCCCAACATACTTTGTTTTGTAATGCCTGGCTATTTATCATTTCCTGTTTTTCTGTTTGTTGCAGTACTGGGGATTGAACCCAAGGCCTTGTGTGTGCTCAGCAACCATCGTACCACTGAACCGTATCCCCCAACCCATTTTATTTTAACACAGGGTCTCACTGGGTTGCCTAGGCTGGCTTCAAACTTGATCCTCCTGCCTCAGCCTGAGTAGCTAGGTGGGAGTACAGGTATGGACCACACCACCTGGCTGATCCATTTTTCAATTCTTGCCCCTCCCTTTCTATAGTGCCCTTTTCTTTTTCTTAGTTTTTAAGAGCTCTCTTTTGTTACATTTGTTACAAATAATTCTCCCCATCTGTTGTCATTTAACTTTGTTTATGGAACCTATTGCCAATATTGAAGTTTTTTGTATTTAATAGCAAATTTACAAAATACTGTCCCTCTCATTCTGGTTTCAGTTTCCTTGGATTGCTTAGAAAGACTCCCTGGGGGCACACCTGTTTCCCAGGGCACAAGAGGATCTCCAGGTGAGGCTGGCCAGGCTTCACAGTGAGACCCTTCTCTGAAAGCCAAAGAGGAAGGAAGACAGGCCAGCTAGCCTCACCCACCAAGAAGTAAAAATAGCCTCTTATATTTTCTTTTAAGGCATTTATATCTTTTTTTAAAAAAATTAAACAATACTTGCTATTTTAGAGATGTATGTTCAGCCATTCCTTTTCTTTGAGAATAGGATTTCCATGTATGTGTGAAAAGTTTGTCCTGCATTCAGAAGAGTATGTAAAAAGTATATATTCAGTAAAAAGAGAGTAAATATCCACATACCTACTACTCCAGTTAAGAAATAGTCATCTCACAAACATCTTTATAACCACAAATCAGACCTTTGTCTTCATTATCCTTGTGTTTCTCTGTAGTTTCACTCCCCACACACCTCTTTCTAAGCTTCAGTGTTATTCAGGTTGGAAAGGAGGAATAGTGAGCCCGAGCCCCAAGGACCTTTGCACCATGACCTGGAGCTCCTGGGAGAGGGAGCTGATGGGCTTCGCCCTCAGCCTCCCTAGCAGCTCTGGAGAAGCCTTGGAGATGCATGGGCCAGGTCAGGCGGGTGTCTTGAGCTATCAGGGCCTACCACAGAGGGCCTGGGACTTGGAATGAGGTGGGTTTCCAGCCCGGGCACAGGCAGCACAGATTGCTTCCTTTGGGGCAAGCAGTGCTTGGCAGACCCCGTCTGCTATAGGTCAGAGAAGGAATTTCATCAGCATGTGGTTGAGGCCAGACAAGACTGGGAAGAAGTTGGACCTGGGCCACGTGCTCTGCCCTGCATTCTGTCCTCAGGTTGAAAAGAAAATGTATAACACTGTGTGCAATAGTGTTGTGTATAGTCAGTTCTTTTCATTTGTGGTAGTTGTGGTCCATAAAGTTGACACAAACAGTAAATTAGCAAATACCATGCCTGTGCTTGTAGAGGAGATACATGGTTAGAGTCCTGCAAGTCTCTGATTATAGGCTTTTCATCAACAGATCTATATGTAGCCTTGTTTTCTCTGTATTTCTGTTGAAAGACACTTTAATTTATATATATATTATTGATTCACTGACATTAAACTCATGCCCAACAACTCTGTAATTCATGCCTGAACTAAACTTGTCCAGCTTAGGAACACCAGGCGGCACTTGAGCAGTACGCTTGGGGACCATTTTAAGTAATGAAATCACCAACAAACAGTATGAACAGTGATAAATGCGGCCCTAAACAAACCATGAACAGTACAGTTGTTCCCAGTATTAGAACTGAAACAAGAAGGCAGAGCATCATGCGGGCCTTTCCACTGCCCTGTGTACTCAGCTGGCTGGAGGCGCTGCAGCTATCACTGTGTTTTTCTGTGTGTGTGTACCTACACAGCAGAAAAACAGGCAGAATTAGGGTGTTTAGGGGATTAACTTGGGGAAAACTTTAGGGTTCAAATAATATTCTGTAACTGGATAGTCAGACAGCACATGTTTACTTCATGGAAGCCAAGCTGCCCATTTATGACTTGTGTTCTTCTGTGTTATAGTTTAGTAAACAGCATAAAGCAAGACTGGTCTCAGGGTCTGGATGCCAGCCGCCCTCATGCCAGGTGGGACTCTTGAGTGTCACTGCTCCAGTGTAGTGTTGCTGCCTCTTGGCCACATGGCTGTCGTCCTGGCTTCTCCCCTTACTGTCCTCCCGGTGATTTGCACTGCTTCTCCTAGATTGGACCTCCTGCTTTCTAATGTTTACTCCTCTCTCATCCTTCTGGTACCGTGAGGTTTCTGTAATTTCTAGAGAAAGGGTACATGGACAATAATTTTTCACAAGAGTTACACATCTGAAAAGTTGTTTGACTTTCCTCACACAGTAACTTTCCTGGGTAAAGAAATTGAATTTGTAAAGTGTTTGCGATGTTGACGACATTAGTGTGCTACTTTTTAGTGTTGAAGACCAGGTTCTTGATCTTTCCTCTTTCCCTTGTCTGTCTCTGAAAGCAAGTAGAATCTTCCTTTTCATGCTGCTCTTCTGAATCATGACTGGTGTGTTATGACAGGCCCCCCCCCCGCCTTTAAAAATTTAGTTTATTTTATTTTGGTTTTTTGAGCTAGAGTCTCACTATGGTTCAGGCTGTCCTTGAACTCCCTATGTAGCCCAGCTGGCTTTGAACTTGTGTGATCTTTCTGCCTCAGCCTCTCGAATGCTGGGGTTAACAGGCATGTGCCACATGCCTGATGTATTTTTTTTTAAATTTTGGGACAAGGTCTCGCTAAATTGCCTAGGCTGTCCTCAAACTGGTAATCCTCCTGACTCAGAGTCCGAACTAGCTGGGATTACAGATGTGCGCCACACCCAGTACCAGGTCTTTTTTTATCCCTTTTGTTGAATGCTATGAGGGCATTTTCAGTCCAGTGATTCACATTCTCTTCTGGGAAGTTTTCTTGAGTTAAGTTGTTATTTTCTCCCATTTTTCTCACTTTCAGAATGTTGAAGCTCTTAAACTGGTGTTCCAATTTTTTCCTCTCTCGTGTTCTGTTTTCTGTCTCTCCTTTTCATTCTCAGCTTCCCTTCCCTCTTTCCTTCCTTTTCCTTTTCTTCCCTTCCCCTCCCTTCCTTAGTTACCTAGTCTGTTTTCACTAAAGTATGCACTTTATTCCTTTGTCAATGATGCCTTGAGTTCTCTAAGTCATAAACCCTATGTTTAATCCTCTTTACTGAATGAACTGCTTCCTTCTTAAAGTGAAGTAGAACTTGGAAGAAGCAACTTAGAGCCTAGCTATGTTTATCCATCATCCATGTTCCAGCAGTTGACCCAAGTCCTAGTAGTACCTAGTGACACCCATCCTAGATGTCCTGTTGAATCTACAGTCTAGATTGTTTCTTAACTTTCCCTTTTGCCCATCCTAGATCAGCTCTTTCCAGTTTCCTAATTCAGTTACTTGTGTTTTCCAGCTTCCAAAATTGTGTCATTGTTTTTTATTCTCCTTATCCTTGGAAATTCTTTTTTTTACTCTGCTATAAAATTTTAAGAGTTTTAAGATCTTACCTCGGATACTTCTAGACCTTACTCTCACAGATTCATGGCTCAAGTCTCAGTGCCATTGTGCAAGACATCATATCCAGGTGCAGTACCCGCTAGTCCCATGGGTACTCAGAATGTGGCCAGCACCACTGAGGAACTGAGTTTTCAATTTTATTTAATTTTAATAAATTATATTTAAGTAGCCACATGTGGCTAGTGACTACCATACTAGATAATTCTAATTCTAGTGAAGTAGGTTTTGGAATCTAAGTTTTGGTTAATTATATCTACTGTAAGGAAAATTTTTTTCAACTTTTCTTCTCTCTTATTTATTATATCATTATTTATATCAGTATAGACTCCAAGATTCCTGTGTTACTCAGTAGGTTATACAGTGGACCCTTGAGTTACGTACGACCAGCTTGCCATACAGACAACTTGAGTTACGACCAGAATTTTATTTATTTTATTAATTTTTTTCCCCCAGTACCAGGGATTGAACTCAGGACCTTGCACTTGGCAGGCAGGCAAGGCACCCCTGAGCTACATCCCTGACTGGCCAGAATTTTAACTTATGAACAAAGTCTTGAGTTACGACCCCAATGCATACAGATTTAACCCTTAAAGAGTTCTGGAAGGAACATTGCCACATCTTTTCCTGTGTGGGGTTAATTGAGAAATCCTGGGCCAGTGTCCCTCTAAGGACACTGAGATCTGCCTGGAAGAAAGTGTGGCCTAAAATTATACAGGAGAGAGACTGAAGGCAACTGACCACCTTGAGAACCAGTCCTTGGGAATGAATTGAATTCGTAAGTCAAGGGTCCACTGTAATCTGTTACTTGTATGTAGTATTTTGATGCTCAGATTGTGTCCAGTTTGGCCAATGGACATGACTCCTTCCATGTCCTTCCAAGGTGTCCCCATCATTGTTTCTGGATCATTCATTCTAGAAGTATATATTTCAGGCTCAGGTGCTTGCTCTGCCCCAAACCCTGGGATCATCTCTGTCTCCAAAGAGCACAGTTCCTCCTAGTGGAGGATGCTGTGTGGACACTAAGAGCTGGGTGCTTGCTTAGTGCACCTATTGCTAGTGGGTTAGCGCTACTTCTAGGTCTGAGAGCTGCCAAGCATTTTAATTGCTGTTACTACATGGAACAGTACAGATGGAGAACATTTCCATTGTTGGAAAAAGAGGAAAGCTGAGGTTACTAGGATTTAGGAGTTCAGAGGCCATCTGGCCCATCTTTACACAGTTGTACGTGGTCTAAGTGGGTTTCAGCCCCTCTGCTGCTGGAGGGATGCTGACCTCTTCCTAGCTTTCTTTGTCCCTCTGGGCTACCCATTGCCTGAACATAATCCAGATGACAGCTGCCAAGGGAGTCTAAATAATTGTGTTGGCAAATTTAAGAGCATGGTTTCTTAACCTCAGCATCATTGACCTTTTGGGCCAGGGAGAGGCTTGGTAGGATGTTCAGTAACCACTCCTGCCGTGCTCTGGTTACACTAGTCCTCCCCCACTCCCCAAGGGTTCCAACTGAGAATGTCGCCTTACACTGTTAAATGGCCTTGGGGAGCCAGGAGGGGAACAGAACATGGACTTGGAGTTCAGAAACACGAACATCAACAGAGGTCCCTGGAAAGGAAGGGAAAAGAAATGAATGTTGATGTGCTTGTGACAACCCTGCAGTATAGGGGGACTGTTTTCCTTTTTGCTTTCTTCTTACTTGATGATGAAAATGCAGATCAGTTAAGCAACTTCTCTATATTCTGTGCTTCGTGTTAATTATTCTTAGTCCTGTCCAGAGTGTGTGTCTGTTGTAGGTCCCTTTAGTTTGAAATCTGTGATGGAGCTGGAGCAGACAAGAACAGTAACACAGCAGTTGAAGGGAGGATTTGGGAGGGCTTGGTGGATTTTAAATTGCTTAGCCTAGAAAAGAGGAGAAGGTGACTGACCTCTGGTCTGAGGTGAGTTTTGAGACTGGATTTAGAATAACTGCTCTCTGTAGGGAACATGGAACAAAAGGCCCTGACACTGTATTTCAGAGTTTTGAAGAGGAGCTACTTGAGGGACTGCTGAAGAC